TTGTTAGGAAGGACGTAGGAAAGAAGGAGGAGGGGAAGGAGGAAAAGCAAGAAAAGGAATGCCTCATCCCAAATGAAGAACGCAGACAAGTTCATGGCCTTTCACTTTCCAATACACCTTTTTGTTTCACCAGCCGTTGGAATTCCTCACCATTTTGATTTGTGACCTCATTTCCCCTGTCCACATACTTTTTCCCAGGGAAGAGAGACCGTGTTAATAATGCTTTCTCAACACTGCAACCCTCCTAGAAACTCCAAATTCCATCAGGTCCCCAAGGGAAGCCTCCTTAGCTCACTCTCCCACCCTCTACACCTTGGGCCCCACTCTGACCTGCAACCTTGCAACCTTGCAACCTTGCAGCCTTGCAGCCTGGGCAGAGGTTCTCTGGTGTGCTCGCGCGCGCGCGCACGCACACACACACACACACACACACACACACACAGGCTCCATGGCCATAGACAGAACATGACCTGCAATGTCCACGGCCCGCCAGCAGGGGGCTGAGCGCTCCAGCTGGTTGGGGGCCAGGCTGTGTCTGTATCTGAGTCCCCAGTCCCCAGAACCAGGGACACAGGAACATTAAATGAATGAGTGGATGCATCAGTAGGCCCATTTTTGGCCCTCTTTGCAGCATTAAATTGGGAAATAGGATTGTGATGGTGGCGTTTATGCATTAGATCCCACCACAGGAAGAACAGTTAATATCTGGCCAGCTTTGATCTCTGGTAGGTCATTCTAAGGGCCAATTCCATCCAACTGTGCCACAGAAGAGAGAAGCCAGGACTGGGGTTTCCCACCCACACACCACATAACCTTGGAGCCGGCTCCTTCTCTCTCGGGACCTAGCTTTCCCCAGATATAGGATGAGGAGGTAGGATGACCTCCTTCCAGGATGCTATGATCCCATTAAGGATCACCTGAATATATAATGAATTCTCAGCATGGAAGCACTTCCAAAATATGAGACATTTAATTTCTTATGCCGTACATAATAATATGTACAAAGAATTCAGGGTAAGATCCCTAGAAAATTTGCTAATTAGAAAATAAGATCCTTAGAAAGCCCTTAGAGCTAAGGAGTGAGCTAACAGTGGAAATCAGCTTCTTACTATCTTTTTGGTAAGATAATAATGCAAAGTCTGACCCCTAGGCCTGCCTGTGCCCCCCCACACACACACTCACACACACACACTCACACACATACTCACACACTCACACACACACTCACACACACTCTCTCACACGCACACACACACCTCATACCTGCCTGCACGTATGCATTTCCCATCACTACCTCCACCCACCCACCCCCAAATGACTGTATTACAAGTGCACATGGAAAATGTTTAGGAATGAGACCACCAAGCGGAACTTAAAAAGGAAAAGATGAAACGTGGTTTTGGTTGAGGAGGAATGATACCTGGGATTTGGAGGCAATAAGCTCCCTGTGGGATTTAAAATAGATCAAAGACGGGGCTATTTTCGTCTTTCTGTGGAAGGAAGCATTCAGGGGTGACCGTGCTGACTTTTTGCCCAGAACACTTACTAAGGGCAAAGAGACATCCTGGCGCTGCTTCCTGTTGTCTGAGCTGGTGACCCCAACCAGGCAGGGTCTGTCCAAAGAAGCTTCTTTCAAGGACCGCAACTAACATACCACTCCCCTAATCGGAGCTGCTGCTTCGCACGGAGTGCCAACCTCAGGTGAAACATGGAACCAAAGATTGAATACACATTGTTTACTTAATCTGTACAAAAGCTGCCAGGTCAATATTATTATGCCCACTTTATGGATAAGACCACTGAGGCAGAGGGTGGATTAACAATGTGCCCATACCCGAATGGCTAATAAGAGGCAGTCAGGTGCCAGTCCCTTTCTCTTGTCTGACTGCCTCCCAATCCCCTTTCATCTGAAAGGGTTGGGAGGGGTGTGGAGGGGTGGCCGACATTCCTCAGAGGAGGTGGAAAACATTCCCTGAGCAGAGGTCACAGCTCTGCCTTTAAGTCTTGCTCCTCTTTCAAGCCCAGTCACTCTGGAGGTTTCTTCTCTACTCTGGGCTGACCTGGCATTTCTACAGCAATCTCTTTTATTAGTTCCTGAAGGGTGTGGCCTGGGTCTGGTGGTTTGATCTCGCTCCAAATTAGAACTATGGTCAATGGCAGTCCCATTTTCTGGTGGACACAGTCCTCACCAATGCCATGGACAGTGACATCATATTTATGTCTGATTTGCCTAGCTATGCAATCCTTTGTTTTAAAGAGTTCTTCTCCTTTAGTGTAATCTAGAATCCTAGACCCTAATGGTAGAGCTTTTGTTGGGGGGAGGGGAGGGTTGTCTTTAGATGGGGGTTGTTTATGTGTTTATTGACCAAATATACTCTAATTTACGTGAAAGGCATGTATTTCATCCCTTCCATTCTGGCATCTCCACATCCCTGGCAGTGAAGTTAGAATCAGGAATAAGGAGCTCCTGAACGCCCGGGCTCCACCTCCATCTTTATAGACCCTCATGTTCTCCAGGGAAGGAGTTCAAGGGAATTCTTGGATCCAGAATCAGGAACCACGGCTTTGAGTTCCAGCTCTGTGCCACCTGCAAGTGTCTGACTTGGGACAAGTCATGCTGCTGCTCTCTGGGCCTCGGTTTCCCACCTATGAGAAACATACGGGATGAAGGACATAATGTGTGAAAATGCTTTGTTAAGACCAGCGGTTGCAGGAGAATCTCCCAGAGGGCTCGAAAAACACAACTCTCTGGGACCACCCAGAGTCTGGGCCAATGGAGCCTGAGAATCTGCATTTCTAACAGGCCCCAAGTCGCTGATGCTGCTGGTCCAGGGTCCATGCATAGCGAGCGTCTGGCTAAGAGCAAAGGGACACACGGTGGGTGGTGCATTATCGTGACAGAGGGCAGGGTGTACACCAAAGGGAAGCTGCTCCCTTGGCCACCACCCCCACTTTAGGGCAGTGTTTCCTAACCTCACATAAGTATCATCTGTGGTGTTTGTGCAAAAACAAAACAAAACAGATTCTTTGGCCCTGACCCAGCCTTACCAAATCCGAAGCTCCAAGGGGGAGGCCTGGTAATGTGTATTGGAACAAGCCTCCTGGCCAGTCTTATCATCAAGATGGTGGGGAAACACTGTAGCTTAACCACTAGTTCCGGATGGCAAAGATTTTCTGTGAAAGCAAACGGTCCGTGTCCCCTCCAAGTGGGGACGTGGTAATAAGTGACAGCCTCTTTTCCACAAGGAAGAGGCATCCCCCAGCCTCCTAGCAAACACCTCGTAAGGCCTGCAAGGCCGACCTTAGGGTTGTCCGACAGCATCAGGACAAGTGTCAGAGAGAAGGAAGGGGACCTGAGCGGACTTCAGTGTGGTCCTCAAGCCCGGCACCAGGAGAAACCTGCCCGAAGCAACGCACTCATTCACTTTTACACAGGCTCCTGTGTCCCATCTCTGGCCCCCAAAGATCCCCACACCATGGAACCAATAGCACAGCTGGAAGCAATAGTCCCCATCCTGGCTGCACATCAGACTCGCCCTCCCCGGTGTGTGCGGCTGCACATGGCCCCAGACCGATTAAACCAGACACATAAGAGGGGACGCAGCATCACAGTGTACAATGTCCTGCAGGTGATCACGTCTACAGCTGGCCCTGCTAAACGGAAGAGGCAACACGGTTGACACCCAGCAGCTGCACACCTGCCCAGGCCCTCGCCCTTGGTCACCCAGCATGCCCATCCAAAGCCACAGCTACGAACCATATGGCATGTTCAATATGAAGACCCTCGTTTCAAATAAAACCTCATTGAGGGGCGTCTTCAGGCTTCTTTAAAAACTGATATTTTTGAAACGATGCTCAACATCACTAATCACTAGGGAAATGCAAATCCAAAGCACAACGAGATACCACCTCATACCCACGAGGATGGCTACCCTAAACATTTTTCTAAAAGGAAGAAAAGAACACGTGTTGGTGAGAATGTGGGGAAACTGGAGCCCTTGTCCACTGTTGGCGGGAATGCTGAGTGACGCAGCCACTATGAAAAACCACATGGCAGCTCCTCAAAAAGCTATAAACACAACTACCCATAGGTTCCGGCAATCCCACTTCCGGATACACACCCAGAAGAAATGGAAACAAGATCTTGAACAGATATCTGCACACCCATGTTTATAGCAACACCACTGTAATAGCCAAAAGGTGGAAACAACCCAAGTGTCAATGAATGGATGAATGGATACACAAAATATGATATATACACACAGTGGAATATCATTCAGTCTTAAAGAGGAAGGAAATCCTGACACATGCTACAACATGGAAGAAGCTCGAGGACGTTATGTTAAGTTCAATAGGCCAGTCACAAAAAGAGAAATACTGCATGATTCCACTTATCTGAGGTGCCTAGAGTAGCCCCATTCACAGAGACAGAAAGTGGAATGGTGGGTTCCAGGGTCAATGGAGGGAGGATGGGGAGTTCGTGTTTCACAGGGACAGAGTTCCAGTTTGGGATGCTGTAAAAGTGCTGGAGATGGATGGTGGGCACGGTTGCCCAAGAGTATGAACATACTTAATGCCACAGAATTGTACACTTAAAAAATGCTTAAGATGATAAATTTTATATTAAATGTTTTTAACCACAGTTTGTTTTTTTTTTTAATTTAAAAAACCCTGAAATTTAGTGGAAGTGACTAGGGTCTCCTCCGTGGTAAGGTGGCTTTTATTTGAACCAAATGCAAAAGTCAGGACTAATGCTAAGGGGAACACGGCATGCATGTGTCAGTTTTCAAAACACCTCCTACCAAAGACACCAGAGAACCTGGAGGACATTCCACCCTCTTCCCAAACACAGAAACAATCCGCTAGGGAAAAACTAACTGTAAATGAAGAAAGTTGGTTGCAGAAAGTCGCCTGTCAATGCCCGGGTCACGTTTGCAATTGTGTTTTGCTCACTGACCCCTTCATGCTTTCATTCATTCATTTCTTCTTTCGCTGTGCAGACAATTGCCAGGCACTGGGGCAGGAAGAAGCAAGAGGAGCCCAGAGCGTAGGCTCTACCTTGGCGAGCGCACGGCCCAGAGGTCCTTTTGGGGAGAAGTGGCCCAGTGTGGGGGAAGAAGGAAGATGACAAGTGAGGGAGAACCAGACAGAGGAGAGGCCTCAGAAGCTCTCACGGGCTGCTTCGGAGCAGTTGGAGGGAAACAGTTGGAGGAAGCTCCCTTTGGGGGCCTTGTCCAGGGACAAGGTTTCCAGGCAGACTGAGGCTGTGTCTGGTGCCCTCTGCAGCCCCTGGCCCACAGGAGGGACCCAGCAAATGTTGGCTTGTGACATGTCAGGGCAGGACCTGTGTTATGAGAAGTACCAAAGTGCCACCCAAGCTGGGCCTGGGAATGAGTTTAAAAAGCAGACCAGGCTGCCCATGCCTCTTGGACTGCGTGGGGAGTGAGGGGGGAGAGAGACATGGGAGAGCCCGGCGCTGCGTGCTGGGAGGCCCCGCTACTCATCCGAGACATTTTGGAGGAGCAGCCCCTCTGCAAGCCTATCGTGTTCCTAAGCCAGCGATGGATTGTTTTCATTTCATTCAGAATAGCAAGACTAAACTGGATCCAATTTCTGATCAGTGTCATTTCTCAGGCTTGCTCAGAAAAGACAAAATCCATTAAACTGCCCCCCTACTCCCCTATGAGAGGCACTGAGCTCCCCGTGGCAGCGAGATGGGAGCTCTTGAGGGTAAAGACTCATTTTCTGTGGATCAGTGGCTGGCTTATTGTAGGTGCTTAATAAATATTCAATCATAACAATCTTAATTACTGGATTACATCATGTCTGTCTTAGGGTGGGATATAAATAAATAATGCCATAATAATAATGAGGCTCTAACGGAGGGCTGCTCAGTTTGAGTTCCCACTACTTCATAGGCGGTTTTAATAAATTTGGGTGGATTTCATATTTCATGAAGACGTATCTGCTCACAGCAGGTAAATGCTTCTGAAGATAAGCCTTATTTAGTATTAATGCCAGCAGAACACGTCCTGGTTTATATCATGTTCAAGGTTTAATTCAACTCAACATGGTTCCCAGTTCTCCAAGTGTTTGATGGTGTCCAGTGGCCAGGAGGGTGGCAGGGCTGGGTGTTCAGGGTCCGGCCCCCATGGCTGGCTTTAGGGAAGACATTGAGACAGGCTGTTGTGATCAGCTATCGCTCTCCAACACCGCCTAGACTATGCCCCACTTAGAAAGCAGTTGCAAACACAAAAGTCTTCATCCTGACAGGTTATGTAAATGAGTGAAGTTCTCTGATGGCTAGCAGGAGGGTGCATGCCCTACCTGAAGGGGCAGCCCTAGCCCCTCCCCCCATGCACGAATGCCACCCAGTGGTGCCCAATCTTCCATTAAATAGAGCCAGACTCTCCTGGTCTTTAAATGCTACTAACGAATCTAAATTATTTCAAAACAAAACCCTCCCTCAGCTTTCTGGGCCACATCTGGCCATGGGCTGCTTTAGGCGAATCTGGGGCTTGGAGCTAAGAGCCAGGGATATGTAAGCAAATGTATGGGCTGGTCCCTCCACGAAGGCCAGGAAAGAGCCCAAAAGCCCCTACCGTAACTGGTGGGCACCTGAGGTCTGCACTCGCTCCGTTATCTGCTGGACTCTCCTAGTGACTTCCATAAATCCCCAAGACCCTGCCCCCTCTGCTGGAAAGTGAAGGGTGACAAGGTTGCTGAGCCTTCTTCAGAGGGCTGTGCTAAGAACCAATGTCCCATAAAGTGATGGGGAACCCTCTGCACACCAGACAGCACCATCCGTGCCAACAGAATGGTGACTAGTGGATGTCCAGGAAGCTCTGCGAAATCTCCCTGAAGTCTGGCCTCTGGAAGCCTCTGGAAGCTTCTGGAAGCAGGGCTCGTCTTGGGGAGTTGGGATTTGCATGTCCCAGATAGCGAAGCTGGAGGGGAAATGGTGGCCTGCAAAGCTACTCACCTAAGAGTGCGGACTGGCTCTATCCCCACCTTGAAAGTCGCTTGAGCCAGTCCCTGTCCCACTGTGCTGTCCGCTTCCTGCTCTGTGCCCTAAAACTGGACAGGAGAGTGCAAATGAACCTCCCCTGGTGGAGTTGAGGTGCCCAGAGGGGGTCTTGGCATCTTCTGTTCCCCAACAGGAAACTAGACTAAAGGTACATGAGCCGGGCAGCCCAGCTGTGATTGTGAGCAACCTCCACCTGTTTCCCGGGACCCTCTGCAGCAAAGGCAATGCCTTAGGGACTTTGGGATCTGCAAGGGTCCAAGAAGCAGTATTTGCCCTAGACACGGTCATCACATCACAGCACTGGCCACAGGCGAGTGACCTCCCCAGCCCTTGGGAGAAAGTAGACAGCCACGGGCTTTCTAGAGAAACTCCTCCTGCACTGGGGTATTTTTAGCCCCACCATCCCATATAGCCATTCCAGCGGTGTTAACGTCATGGGTGAAATTAGCCACTCACCTTTGCCAGGACAAGGTGGCTCCAGCAGGGTGAGTGGGGTGGGGGAACTGAAAGCGCCCCACCAAAACTCTGCACTCAGGTTTCCTGCAAGCTGATCCAACTATAATCTCTGGCCAAAAGTAGGAATTAGGTTTTCTTCACCCTGCTACAAATCATCTCAATGAAAAATGCATCATCATTATTTTTACAAAGGAAAAATCAACACACACATATTTTGTTTATAAAACAGTATCTGTTGGTTTTAGGTATCTTTTTACCTAATGCTTAGTGATATGTTACTGGAGAACTTTTCTTTACATAAATCCATCATTACAGGGTTTTTTCTTTCCATGAATATACACATTTTTACTTGGTTATTTAATAATCTACTATAAATATGTTCTTCTATTTTAAGTTTTTAATTTTTAAGCATAACCTTAGCCAACCAAACTCTAAAATTGGACATTTAATTGTTTCTGATGTTTTGTGTCCCTGCCAACATTTGTAGAAACATTGGCCTCCTTGAAGCCACTTAATATCAAATAACCCTAAGTGAGGTTACCAGACAGACTGGAGTCTACGGGATGGGCCGGGCAGACCCAGGTGCCACCTCCTCTGCCACGTGACCCGAGGGACAGTCTCAGATCTCACCCTGGCTCTTGCAGAGCCACCTGACCACCGAGTTCTCCGACTCCCTGCTGCGTCTCCTTCCCCGGAGCTCCCACCTGCCCCTCAGCTCACCCTGCCCCTCTCCTTCTCTCCTCCCTGCCCCAGGGAATTTTCTGGGTTTTTTTTTTTATTGTGGAACTTGCCAAATGTATACAAAAGTTCAGAAGATAGTATAGCAAATGCCCAAGGACAAAAATCCTGTTTCATGTACTCCAACCCGTGTCCCCATATACTACATGACTTAGAAGTAAGTCCCAGAGATCATCTCATTTCATTCATAAATATGAGTGTAAGTCTTGCTAAATAATAAAGCTTCTTTCTTTAACATACCATTACCATGCCTAAAAACAGGAGCCATGATCAAATACCCAGGCAGTACTCAAATTTTTCAAGTGGTCTTATAAACGTTTGCTATGTTTTCTGGAATCAGGATCCAAAAAGAGTCTATAGGTGGTGTTTAATTGATGTGTCTCCTTTAGTGTCTTTTAATCAAGTGATCCCACCTGCCTCAATTTCAATGGTTAATGTGTAAAAGAAATCTGTCACTTGTCCTGTAGGATTGTCCACACCCCAATTTTGCTCCTTGCTTCCTCACGGTGTCATTTCATGATTTCTCTGTCCCTGTTATTCTTTTAATCTGGTAGTGAAATCCAGGGTTAGGGACTTGTTCTGATTTAGGCTTGGTTTTTTGGCAAGAATACTTCATGAGCAGTATGTATTTTCATAAGGGGCCCCTGGGTGATTGTCATCCTGACTCACTGTTTCCCCCAGGGGTTTGAAACTGATAATATTCTAGTTCTACCCTTCCTTCTTTACTAGAGAAACTTTTCTTCATCCATCACTTGGCTCCTTGAACTGTTTTGTACAGTTCACACAGGAAAGTCAAGTGAGGTACTCAACCCTGCTCCCCTTTTCAAAAGAAAGAAGCTGCTCCCTACATCTGCCCAGGGAGCCACAGAACTGTGGCTTGAGTTGTTATTTTTTTCAGGATCTTCATGAACTCGTGGGCTCAAGAAGATTCAGTGTGTCTCAGGGCGTGTGGTGTTTTCTTACTGACAAACACACTGTATCATCTTACCTTTTGCTGGTGGGAACCTCTTCAGATTGGCCCCTGTTCTTTTGATATCTTCCCAGGGGGTTTCCTTAGCCTGCCTGCCTTTCGTGTGACAAGGGGTTCCAGACTCTTTCTTATACATGTTCTGCTCCAGCTCAGGGAATGCTTGTTCTTTTTAATGAGAAATCATGTTTAGAGACAAAAATCTTTGTCCAAAGGAGATTCATTGCTGTTAGTTATTCTGTTGGTTATTATGTTAGTTATTGCCTTTCTATTGGGAAATGCTTTTTTTCTCTTTTTTAAAAGAAAGTATATTTTGTTATGCTTTCTCTTTATATTGATTTTACACTTGGATTTTTTATGTTTGATTTATATGATCTCTTTCCTTTATATTGATATTCAATATAAATATACAACTACTGGGTTTTACTTACCATTTGGGTTTTATATTTGCATCTGTTGTCTCTAACACTAAAAAAAAAACCACTTTGCTCTCTAATGACATTAACATCCTTACTCATTTGCTTTATCTCTATCTATCTATCTATATTTCTGAGAACAGTGTAAGATTTTACTTGACAGTTAATTTTATGTGAGGCTATATCCTGACCGCGGATGTTAAGTCAACTTAATGTATTTTCAAATCATTTGAAATAACTTCCCCTCTGTGAAAGTATGCCCCCTACACATTAAATTCATTTGTTTCATTTTGCTCTAATTTTTAGGGACTGCCTTTTTCAAAGTTTTGGTTTAATCTAGCTTTATAAACTGGCAGGTACTTACATGGCTCCACATCAAATCTACCAAACAAAGTAGACTCAGGGAAGCCCAGCTCCTCTTCCCATCCCCAAACACACATGTGCCTTCCCTTCCCCACAGGTAACCATTTTGGGATTTTATTTATTCTATTGTTTTCCTTTAATATAAGTAAATATATATAAATACCCACATACTTGGACCCTCTTCTTTTTAAGTAAATGGTAGCATATGATCCCGAGAGTCTCCCCCTTGCCCTGAGAACGACGGAGAGATGCTCTTCATCGCTTTCTACAGCTGCGCGGTGCTCCACCGTGAGGCGGAGCCCGGCTCGTGGTCCTCCACTCGCCACCTCCTCCCCGAGCCCCCGGGTTTCTCAATCACTGCCAGCCTGCTGCAGATCTCCTACCCACCCCCGATCCAGCCCAGGTGATCAGAATTCCACCACACGAGCTTCCTCAGCCTGTCGTGCCCTCGGTGAGCAGCGACCTGTCCTCTCGTTTACCATTTGCAACAGTCATGTGAAGGAATGACCAAACTGAAGTTTGGAGAAGTCAGATCACGTGCCAGAGGTCACACAGCTGGTCTTGGTAGACCTGGGAATAGAACCTGTACCTCTCTGAGGCCAAAATCCACAATCTTAGCCACTCAGCCACAGAGACTCTCCTGGCCGTGCCTCCCAAAGTTCTGTCAAGTTCTGCCAAGCATCAGGAAGGTTACAAGTGGAAAGAGGTGGATGGATTCCCCTGGCACCTGTGACCCACATCCAAAGGCCTTTAGGAGGTGAGACCGCAGGACAGGTGGGAGCCTACAGAGGCTGAGGGCCGGAACTCCTGATTTCAAGCCCCAGCCTCATCTTCTGTTTAACTCGTGTCTCAGCTCTCTTACCTGTAGATCTACGTCGGAGACGCAGGGAGGATAAAGCTTCACCTTGAGTGGGAAGCCACTGTGAAGCAGCAGCTCCCAGACAGCCACCTATTGCAACAGTGGCGTGGGCCTGGCTTGGCCAGTAACAGCATCTTCTTCTCCGGGGGTGGTCCTTGGGCCAGCAGGGTGAGCACCATCTGGGAACTTGTTAGAGATACACACTCTGAGGGAGGGCCACAGCAATCCATGTTTTCACCAGCCCTCCAGCTGACTTGAGAACCACCGCCCCGAGATAAAGCCAACACTGAGTTCGTAATGGCGGGGGGGAGATGCAAGGCCGTAAGGAGCCCCCCTCACCCCCAGTGCTTTCCCATTCACCCACCATCACCCATTAGGGGGTGACAAGAAGGCAGACAAAGTAAAAGTCCTCTTGGAGCTTGCATTCTGGAGAGGGCATCCACAGAGCATAAACCCATGACCCAAGAAGGAGATGGTATGAAGGATATAAACAGAATGGAGGATAACCAGGGCTGAGAGTGAGAGTCTTTAGATGGGATGGTCACTGAGAAAGTGACCCTTGAGCTGACACTTGAATGGGGAGAAAGAAGCAGCCTTGTAAAGATCAGGGGCAGAAAGCTCCAAGCAGAGGATCAGCAGGTGCAAAGGCCCTGAGGCAGGATGGAGCTGCATACATGAAGAGGAGCAAGGAGGCAGTATGGCTGGAGCCAGGGTGAGAGAAGTGATTCTTATATTGGTCCATCTCTGAGGTCAAAGCAATCATATTACTCCTGGGCCAGAGGTGGTTATGGAACGGTTAAACAGTGGCCTTCCTCCCCCGCTGCTGCTGGGGGGAGGCAATGCCTGGGGGTGCAGAACAGCAAGAGAACACATTTTGGCTTTGTACCCCAGCCCTGCCTTATGATCCTCTTCCTCCACATCCAGTCAAACAATTCTGCCAGGAGACCCTGCTTCTAGGGGCACTTCAGTGATTATGGCACCAGGGAAAAAAGTCAGTTTAGGCAGACCGGGCGACCTGAAATTGAGACCAGCTCCACCGTCAATTACATAATTTGGGGCAAGGGATTTTTACCTCTCTGACTTTGTTTTGCATTTGGAATTGGAGATAGGAATGGTCTCCCCACTCCCCTGGGTGGTTGTGAAAATTAAAATATACACTAGGTATGAGACCGTTAACCCAGTATCCAGTAGGTGCTCGGAAAGTGGTAACTATCCCCATTTTTCTTCATCGGCAGAAAGTTTAATTTCTTAAGGTTCACTCTTTAACAGATAATGGAAGAACCAAATAGAAATAATAATACTAGTGATCTAGGAATACACAGTTCCTGTGTAACTTCTGAACTCAGAGCACTTGACGATGGAGAAGTTGAGACATTTTCACCGTGACCACATCAGCCCTGATCCCAGGAACAGACTGGCCTCATGGAAACAGTGGACGATGAGGGGCAGGGCCACAGCCAGGAGAAGAGCAGCCCAGCCCCACTCACTAGAAATACATGGCGTGAGCCACGTGTGTCATTTTAAATTTGCCAGTAGCCACATTAAAAGAGTAAAAAGAAATATGTAAAAGCAATCTTAATAATATATTTTATTAAAGCCACAACATGCAAAGTATCATCATATCCACACAAGATCCAATACACTATTCTATACAGAAGATCTTTCGCAGTCTGTTTTTGTTTTGGGAGGACTTTTTTGGGGCACTGTCTTGGAAATCCAGTGTGCGTTTCCCCCCCCTCACAGCATGTCTTGGTTCAGACTAGCCAGGTTTCGGGTGCCCATTAGCCCATGTGCTTGGCGGTGGCTGAAGCGGAGAGAGTGGCTCAATACTCAGCACGTCTGATCCGTGAGCTAACCTGTCCTGCCCCTGGTGTTGTGTAGTCTCATAAGCTAAAAATGCTTTTGACATACTTAAGTGGTAAAACCAAAACAGGAATATTTTGTGATATGGGAAAATTATGTAAAATTCAAATCTGTGTGTCCACAAATAAAGTTTTATTGGAACTCAGCCACATCCCTTTGTTTACGGATCAGCTCTGACCACCTTGCACTGCTGAGCTGGGCAGTTGTGACAAAGACCATCTGGCCCGCAAAGCTGAAAACATTTACTTTAGCCTCTTACAGAAAAAGTTTGTGGGCCCATATGTGAGGGAGTAGAGCTCTCCACTCCCCCTTCTCCTCCTGACTCTCAACTTCCAGATCCCTCCAGGAGGAGAGATGGCTTACACAGACTCCACGTGCACGGTGGCTGACCTCTCTGCTGGCCACCATGATTATGTTGGCATTTTAATAAACTGGATTTACTTCATTTCACAGCACACGTTCTATTTCTTGCATCGAAATCCTTCTCTAGAAACTCCTAAGCAAAGAATTCTGAAGGAAAGGCCTTAAGGAGAGCCCCCCTGGCCCAGGCGACTCGAGATAAGACTATGACACTCCCATCCTGGCACGAGGCTGGTGAGGCTAGGAGAGCAGCATCCCTAGGGAAGGGGTACCAGCAACCTGAGCCAGTGGGCTGTTTTCCAGCTGTGAGCTGCAAACAGGTGCCCCCGCCCCCTTCAGTTCGATATATCCAGCTCCTCTGAGCTAGGCACCAGACACACATTACCACGTAACATCCCTTCACAAGGAGCCAACTCAGAGTTCCTGGTAAGAAAATCCATCTAAAGGGAGGGGTCTGATTGCTCAGGCCCCTCAGCAGGTAAGCAGCCGGCCGAGGCCCAAGCTCCAGCAGTACCCCCTACAGTGACGTCCCATCCTTGCACCAGCCCTGAGGATATACTTTCACTGGGCCGACACTGAGGTACAGAATCCCCTCAGTTCCCATAACAAATTAGTAGCTAAGGAGGTGCCCTGGCCAGACTTTGCTCCCTTGCCAGGGAGAGGCAAGGAAAACAGGTGGGTGGAAGGCAGCCATGTTCCCTGGACTTGGGCTGGGAGTGCGCTTATGTTGGGGGCTGGGGGGTGCACAGAGATATACAGACTGGACAGGCAGACAGACAAACCCTCATCTGCATCCTCAGTGCCACTGTTAGCTGAATGACACCCAGGACCTCTGAAAGCCTCAGTTTGCTCATCTGTAAAGAGGGGGTATGTATAGACATCATACTGGGATAGCATGAGGATTCAGTAAAAGAACACACAGGCGGTGCCTGGCACATAATGCATGCTCGGGAAATACCGGTTTCCTTATCGTGTCTTAGCTCCCTGACAGGTAGCAATTGGTGGGGCTAGAACAAAATGGTGCCAGGCCCTAAGATAAAGAGTGTACAGCATCAAGGTTAATTTAGGTAAAGACTCAGGACAGTGCAGGGCACCGAGTTATAGGTTCGATAAGTATTAGCTAGCATTTACTATTTTGCTGTTATTATTAAGCCCAGGAAATGCTCCACCCTCCTGAAGAAGTTTATGCAAACAACTCGTAAAGAAGAATGAGCACTAGTGAAGAAACCTCTGCTGAGGCCTCCTACCAAGCAGTCTGGTACAACCACAATGGTGGAAGAATGGTGGGAGTCGCCTCATGTCATTTGTGGGGACGCAAGCTTCCAACACCCAGCCCCAGAAATTCTGCATTACCCCCATCACCAGCTTTTGAACATTTCTGAATAAGACAGATGCAGAACAGAGCCAGTTTGCTGCAGAATGAGGTTAGTAAGCATCAAGCACATCCAGGCAAGAGCGAGGCCATTTTCACCCAGGCGGTCAGGCAGCTGGGCCCCTCCCGCCTCTGTTCCAGGGGTTCGGCCGCGAGCTGGGTCCAGGGAAGTCACTGCAAGGATGGGATGCCGTAGCCCGCCGCCTGAGGACAGCTTTATTTATGCTCTTGCAGAATGTACACGCAGGCCTTGTTTTTCTGGATGATTAGGGAGCCAGCTCACATAGCGTCCGTGGTTCTACATTTAGAATTGTGTCTTCATTCACATTCTTTCCACGCAGCTCACAGCTCCTGGACTGGAAGAGAGTGGTCACTTTGCCTGGGCCCAGCCCCTGGAAAGATGCCAGCTCACCTCTGGTCTGGAGCAGGGGCTGAGTTCTCTGGCTGTGCTCTGTGCAGGGGTGGTCCACACCCGTGTGCCCACCATGACCGAGCCAGACGTGGAGACCACGGCACGGGGCAGGTAGGGCACATTCTGGGGGAGACATCTGATTCTACAGCGGTCAGCTGTGGTCAGGCTAGCCAGACGCCCCCCACCGCCAAGCTCCTGCTCCTAGGCCAGGCTCCTACCGGGTCAACGGTGTTTCATTGTTCTCTCCTGACCCCTCCTGCTGACGCTGACAAAGCTGTCAGCCACTCTCTTGCCCCCAGAAAGTTCCCTGGGTCACCCTTGTGCTTTTCATTTCTCAAGCAGCCACTTCAAGCAAACACCACCAGCTCTGGCCGCACTGCAAAGCTCACCGCTTCTAGGACCCCAAACCAGAGACATGCAGTCAGGCGCTCCACCTGGGAAGAATTAAAAGTAAGCTGGGGAAGGAAGGTGCTGAGGAGTGGGAGGAAAGCAAGTTAGGAAGACCAGGGCCCTGTGGAATGGTTTCAGCTCCTGTTATTCACACCCCAAAGCAAACTCCCCCATAAAATGAGATTTAATGAGGCAGCCTTCACTAAAATCAGGAACAAAATGATTTGGGTCGTGCACAGATAACATGTGAACTGTTGATGAATTTGTTTCAATGCGTAACAGGGGAAAAGATGAACTAGAACATCAAACCCATGATTTTGCAGGTACTGCTATTTACCATAAAGCTCTGCTTTTTTAAGAAGTCAATTTAAATTTTCCTTACAAAAATATAGTAAGTGATGGTACGGATGGTTGAAGGTGTGGCAAAAATTATCAAAAAAAATGACTAACATTTGAGAAGATTTGCAATATACAAGCATATCTGTGTATATGAATTCATTTGATCTTCAACCCAGTAGAACTTAGGCAGTCTGTCCATCTCAAAGATCAGTAAACTGAGGCACGGAGAGGTTAAGTGATTTGGCTGGTGTCAGATAGCTAGGAAATACAAGGGGCCAGGGTTCTGAGTCTTTTGTGTTGTGTTGTGTTTTCTTTTGTTTTAATGCTAGCTCACATCTCAAGTTGATTCTTTTCATTGGCCAGGTTGGCTAGTGTTGGTTTTGACAAGCAGGGGAGGTGGTGGGGTGGGTAAAATCAAGGGGTTCACTTAGAGCCTCCTACAAACTGTCTCGGAGTACTGATCAGTGAGCAGGTGTCCCTGTAGTCAGGTCCTAAGTTCTCAGGGCAAAAGGTAAGTTTTGAGGTTCCAAGGAGGAAAAAGGGCTGGATAATCCTGCTGGTTGGGGTCTGACCCCTCCAACTGCAGGGCAACAAGGAACTGTTCTTTCTGACTTGGTTCAAACTGAAGTGCATAGACCCGGGTCCCTGTGACCCTGGCCACCAGCAGATTCAAGGCTGGAGGTGGTGCCAGGCCCCGAGTTAGGGCTAGGACACAGGCCATGAGAAGCCCACAAGGGGTGGGGGCGGGGGAGGCAGTCCACAAATAGATACAGAGATACAGTGCAGTGCAGACTTTCAGGGGCTTTGAGCACCTCATATAGCAGGGTGCCTGGTGGGGACCAGCACCTCTGCTTTCCCAGGCCATGGGGCAGGGGAACATGAGAAAGGGCTCTTGGAAACAAAGACAAAAACTCTTGCTTTAAAATCCTCGCAGTGAGCAGGCTGTCACAGGGCCAACTTGGGGAGGGGAAGGGGGGCTCCCAGGGGTTGGAACAGCATGAGCAAAGGCAGAGGGGTTGGAAGATGTCTGGGGGTCTGCAGGCAGTTTGGAGAGCAGGCAACCCCAGGCCAAGATAGAAAGTGGCCATTGGGCCAGCGCCTCCCAGAGCCAGAGAGGGGAGCTCTCAGCTGGCAGGACGAGACCTGTCCACCGGCACTTGGACCTTGCACACAATGGGGCCTGCCATGGCCAGGTTCACCAAGTGGGCACTTACCTTGCCTCTTCCCTGATTATTTCTCATCCTTCTGAAACTCTCCCCCTGAAATCCCAGCCTGGCCTTCCCCCAGCCTGCAGCTGGGCCTGTTATTTTGCTCCAAAAGCACAGCAGAGTGCGGCTCCTTACTCGAGGAATGCAGGCCGCGGTCCTCCGAGGGGATGATGAAACAGGCTATTTCTGCCCCGGGACATCAGCAGGCCTCCGGGCGGGTGCTGGCTCCAAGGCACCCACTATCGTGTTTTTTAACGTTTCCCTAAACAAATGTTTTCCTTCGCACCTTGGGATATTTGTATTTGAATCTAGGTGCTGAAATAGCTTTAAGAAATCATTCTGGATGGAAGCTGGACTCATGGTTAGGGTCCAGCTCAGCGGCGAGCAATTTCTCACTCCCCAAGTTATCTATTACCAGCGGCCGATCTGGATGTAAAAATAGCTGCTGAGGCTGTTTGTTTAATCTGACTGTTACTTGACACCACGCGGGTGTTGCGATGCGGACTGTTTGCCTCTTCCCCACCAAGAACACCATTTGGTTTCCCCCAGCTGGGTCTCTATTTAGGTACGCTTCATGAACGTCCAGTGTCTGGACAACTTCTGGGCACTGATTTTCCCCAGGTGGGCAGGTCTGTGAGAACTAAGGGGTGTGGGTCTTGACTCGGTCCCTGGCTCATCTTTGGACAGCCCAGAGAAGGAGGCAAGAAGTTTCGGCGGCCATGCAGAGCCGGGCTGCTGGAGGACTCAGGGTTCTCTCCGGTTCCGGGCAGGCCTGAAGAGCCAGCAGCTGGGCCACGCGCAGAGCGGAAGGTAGGCTGTCGACGCTTGGCTGGTTTCTGAGCGGAGGCAGGGAGGCTGGAGCTCCCCACAGCAGGGACCTTCGCTCGGGGGGCGGCAGTCGTGGGGATGGAGTTCTGAATCCGGGTGCTGTGCAGGGTGGTGTGAGCCGCCAGGGGCACCCTGGGGGCTGAGGCTCTCCGTGGGCTGGGGGTGCCGTGGGTGCCGGATTTCCGTGTGGAGCAGGAGGGGTATGCTGTACAGAGTGCACGGTACAGTTGTGTGTGACTTTGTCCTTACGTGTATGTGTCAGGGCACTTTGCTCTCACACGGCCGAGCAGACACGAGCCTGTGGGTGGGCCTAGGTCATACATTGCCAAACGGGGGCAACCCCACGGTGACAGGTTCTCAGGCAGGGGACTATCTTGAGACTCCAATGAGGCTAGGCAGGATCCAGACAGCTGTAACAAAGAGGACAATTGGTCACTGGGACGTTCTGGCCGGTGGACTCTGAGAGTATGTGTGTCCTGAGCATGGAGCCCCCCACAGTGTTCTCCCACACGCTGGGGGTCCTCATCCAGACTCATGCTTGGCCAAATCTAAAATCATATCTTTCTTTTCTCATGGAGAATGGATCACTGAGGAGATAATACTGAATATGTGTGGAAAACTAGATAGCCTTAAAAAATTATTATTTAGGACTTTAAGCCCCTCCCATGGATGTTGATCATGGAAGAGGCCATGTATAAGTTTGGGGGTGGGGGGGCAAGAACAATATGGGAAATCTCTGTACCTTTCACTAAATTGCTCAGTTTTACTGCAAACCTAAACTTCTCTAGAAAATGGAAACTATTTTTTAAAACTAAATTATAGACCATTTCTTTCAACACATCTAACCCAATTATAATGAGCTCTATTTGAAGTAATATTTTTAAAAACCCGTAAGTATAGGAATCCTAGAGAGTAGATTAAACAAATGTTTGTGTTAAATGAGGTCCAATTTGCCAGCATTTGAGTTCCCTCGCCAACAGTGGTTAGTAAACCACAGCTGTGGGCTGGGCTCCTGGTTTTGTAAATAAAGTTTTATTGGCACACAGCCACACTTGTTCATTTACATTTTGCCCACGGCTACAAAAGCTGAGGCCATTTGGCCCGCAAAAACTAAAGCATTTACTATGCGGCCCTTTACAGAGAAAGTTTGCTGACCTCAACTATACAAGAACACTCCTTGAGATGGGTCAGTCTGGTACCCACACAAAAAAAGCAGGGAAATTTCCAGCTGTTAAAACAGCCTGTAAGCTGGACCCTTCAGGATCAGTAGCTGGCTCAGAAAGCCCGGCCCCTCCTCAGGGCTGGTTTTTCCAGTCTGGCTGGTACAGGAAATGTTCTGTTTGCCACTGGGAGGTTAGCTTTGCTATGGAGTGTGGCCTGGGCTGAGCAGGGCAGATTGTGCTTATCAGGATGGTTTATAAATAGACATCTCCGGGTGACCCAAGTCCAGCGTGCTTCTGCGCCTGGGTCTTTGAGAGGAGAACAATTGTGCCTGCTATTTGGTGGCCAGAAGCTGGTTGGGATGGGAGCAACTGTGACTACTGGGAGAAAAAGGGGCTGGTGGGATGCTGGGTCCTGGAAACAGGGGCTTGGATCTCCTGGGGACCTGGAGAGACAGGTGTGTGTGGAGGAGACCATGAAGGCTACAGAGGGCCACCAGTCCTCAGAGGATGAATGCATCCACCCTGGAGTCTCTTCATCAGTATGCAGGCAAGTGTCTTGGCATCTTCTGCTTCTTCGATCCTGACCCTAAGAAGCTTTAGAGACCCTTACAGAAAGGGGAAGCCCCACGTCTGGAAATAGCCCTTTTCCTCCAGCGTCTGCCAGAAATCTCAGTAGCTGACACCTGCCAGCCAGTGGAGACAAGGCTGGGCCATTTTCTTCGTTGTCTCTTGGGATTTCACTCCATCTGCAGAGGGTTACTGGAGAGATGCAAAGGGCTTAAGAGAAGGTGGCCCTCGTGGAGACATCAGAGCTGATATTTCCCAACGGGCTACAGAGGATCTTGGTTTTATTTCCACTTGAAGGTTTAAACCACATTTCACCAAATCCAGCCAATCTGTAACCCTACAACTCAATCGTACATTTCATTCAGTTAGTTGAAAAAATTTGTCAAAATACCTCTTAATTTCTACTTGGTTCCCAGGGATTGCATGATACGAGCTGGTGAGGACAGATGGGGGTGGGGCGGACAAAGGATCTGTCAAGGCACACGGATCAAGACCCAGAAATGGAGAATGTGGAACACTGCTGAGATGGGTCACCCCCAATGTAGGTCACCGGTATCATTATTGAACATTCCCTGGAGGCGGCTGCGTGTGTGAGTCATATGTGTCTCCTATTCAAGGTGGAGGGAGAGCATGTTCTCAGTTGACCTCGGCTCTCAGGTGGAAGACTGAAGACCACTTGGTGCAGAGTGCATTCCCTTCCAAGCCTGCATCAGTCAGCCTTGGAGAGCTTGACCACAGAGTTGGAGTGTCTGGGAATCTGACAGCAAGAGGGTCCGAGGAGCCAATCCACCAATAGTAGCTTTCTCCCCAGGACCTGACAGACAGACCTCCCTTTCCTAGTAGGAAAGGGCAAGGGACTCTTCCGGACCACAGCACGTGAAAGTGGGGAGTGGCTGTGTCCTCCGTTCTCTGCATGGCAGTCCCTCAAGACTCTGGCCCAGAGAAGGTGAGCACAGCACAGATTCCCCAGGGGCCTGGAAGGGCTTCCAAATCCCACAGAGATGCCTGCGCGTGCTGCCAGCAGGAGCCCAGGGGCTCTGCCACCTGGATGCTATTCCCTGCCTCATTGGGCCCCTCCTGTCCCTGAGGAGCCCCTTCCAGGGAGGGCTTGAGCTTCGGACGGGCTGCAAGGCTGAGCTACCAGAGGAATTTCATCTCAGCCATGCCTTCGCCTGGAGCTTAAGGCAAGGGGGAGAGGAAACGCCGAGATGTGCTTGAGTGACCCCACTCCCTGCTGACCGCGGAGGCCGGTTTCAGGCCTTGTGCCTCAGGGTCCTGCCTGCCTCATGCTGGAGATGCCCCTGGGTCTGCCCTCTGCAGGGGCAGCCTGGCCACAGGCAGCACCAACAGCTGGTCCCTTCACCTGGCCCTGTCAACCCCTCTCTGAGCCGGGTCAAGCCTAACGGCCGCAGAAACCAAAAAACCAGAATTCAAACCCACTGGGCTAAAGCCACCGACTCAGAGCCACTTCTGTCCCTGTGTGCCCACCGTTTTCATCAGGGCCATCCCTGGCTCCCTGACTCCCGTGTGCAGAGCGTTTTCATAGGTTGTCTGGGGTTTACTGCTGGGCTCATCCAGCATGGTAGGTCTGAGGATCTCCTTCGGGAAGGCAGGCACTGCAGCTTAGAGACGTTCAGTAATCTGCCCCAGGATGCACAGCTAATGAGGTGCTAAGATGCAAACCTGGGACCGGAGTCCAAAGTTCATGTCCAAAAGAGTCTCGACAAGGAGGCCAGTCCACGTACAAAGAGTCAAAACTTTCCTCAAAGAAGCCATGCACGCCCAGACAGCCTCCTCCCCTTAGAGCCTCAGAGGGTCCCTGCTGCTCCCGGAGACCCGCGGAGGTGCTCAACAGGGGCTCTGGGGAGGGGCAGATCCAGAGTCACAGTCCAGCCCCACCCTTCTTAGCCAGCCCCTGGGCCTCAACTTCTTCCTCTGTAAAATGGGAATACCAACCATTGGGAATCCATCTCAAGGGCTCCTCCATGCATTAACTGAGCAAACATATGAAAAGTACCAGGCACATAATAAATATGACGACTGTTCTCTCAACTGCCCTATTTGTCGGGTTTTTTCTCTCCTGCTTAAACTCCAACGTGGATCTTTCCCTTCCAGAGGTCCCTAAAGAGAAACCCCAATGCTTCAGGGCTCAGCTGACTCATGTTCATCGCTCAGCGGTAAAGTAGCTGGCTTCATGGAGGACTGACCCGTCCTCACAGTGACCACTGGACATTCACACATCATTATTACCTAACCTCATATGCCAAATAGCATTATGGATCTGTACACTGTTAGCACTCGGGGTGGAGGACTCAGCCCGAGAGGGGAAGTGATGTTCCCACTCACACAGCAACGTGGGCAGAGTCTGGGTGACTCTGTGCCCACCGACATCAGCCAGCACATCCTGCTCTGCCCCACCAGCAACCCCCCAGGGGAAAGAAAGGAGGTTAAAGCTTTACGTAATTTTACCTAATTTAAATTTACCTAACTTTAACTTACATCTCAAGCGCAAGGGTAGGAGTCTAAATTATAACTGAGCGAGGAGGTTTTCCCTGAATTGCTTCCGGGTGACTGCCTGGGAGCTGCAGACCCATCGTTTAAGGGGAACGCCCTGTAAGCGCCATCGCTGCAAGAAGTTAGCCAACATCCCGTCTAAGAATGAGGGAGCTGAGTGGCTTGCTAAGGCAGAGAAACCAGGCGGAGAGGGCACACACGAGGGCGGATCCCAGGATAGGGAAGCCCTCTCGGCACGCTGGTCAGTCACTGCCTTGCTTACACTGGCAAAAGGCAATGTTGTCCTAGTGACCCTCGTGCCCCCGGCCCTAAGTGAGGCAAGATGTGTGCTGGGGAGGATAGCGACATTTACGGACAGCTACTCGGGGCCAGCCACCTCACAGACACAAATTCATTAGGTCCTCACAATGACCCCATGAGGCAAGTACGACTGTTAGTCTCATTTTACAGATGAGGAAACCGAGGCACAAATAGGGTTTATAATTTGCAGAGGGTCACTCAGAGCTAGCATAACCAGGAGCTGTGCCCAAGGAGATCTGGCATCAGTCCATGCCCTTCCCACTCTGTTATACCGCCCCCCTCTGGGGATGAGAAATGATGCCAGGTGGCATTTAGTGATCACCTACTATGTGCTTCACACACATGCGATCATTTAACACACTCAGCAATCCTGTTGGAGGATTCAAATCACAGTGGTAGATACGGGATTCCTTCCCTGCGCTGTCTGCTTCAAAAACCCAAGGTCTCCGGAGTGCTGGAAGCTTCCATTCATTGAGTCCTTATACTGTGTAAATCTCCTCTGGGCTCTTGACATTTTTTTTTTACCCCCACCCTTCACAACCACCCAATGAGGTGGGTCTTGTTGCAGCTGAAGGATCGGAGGCTCAGAGAGGGGACGTAACGTGTCGCGGTCACACGAGGCTAGGAAAGGGGAGCCCTGGTCTGACTCCAAATCTCGTGCTCCTTCCACCGCCCTCTGTTTGGTGCGCAGTCCGGACCAGGAGCTCATGCACACACAACAGCCAAAGCTCTCTTGCAGCTGCCTTCGAACAAGCCCTGCCCCATGAGACCTCTCTCCTTCCACCTCCTGGACCCGCAGCTTGCACTCACTTCTGCCTGCTCTCCCCAACTAGGCGATGGTCCCTTGAAGAGGGCAGCACTTCTGATTCACGCCTGCACCCCACACACGCACAGCCTGCCCAGAGCCAGCCTGGAGCAAGGCAGACACAGCCCAAACCACAGTGGCAGACAGCCGTGGGGCCCCAGTGGCCCCAGAGCTTATGGCTTATCAGTACAACCTCCCAAAAAGGGATACAGCCTCCAACCTAGGGCGGCGGTGCTCCAAGTGTGGTCCCAGGACAGGCAGCACCAGCATCCCCCCTGCCCCACCCCGACCTCCTGCGTGGGCATCTCTGGGGTAAGGCCCAGCACTCTAACAAGCCCTCTGGGGCCTTCAAGAAGAACCACTGGCTCAGAGAAGGAAAGGGGACAAGGTCCCCGTGTTGTTCTCAAACACAGTAGGAGATGCTCCAAGAAGCTGATCTTTTCACATCAACTCAAGCTGTAATTTTAAATAACTTTGCCTGTTGGAAGAGCCTATCTCAGTGTTCATTTTTAGAAGGATAACCTGGGTGGCCACATCTGAATTATTTTTCTTGCCACTGTAAAGCGTCCCATAAGGAATTCCATGAAGAAGGCAGGATGGTTGTCAGGCCCCCGCGGCAGGAAAGTTGTGTCTCCTTCCCTGGAAGAGCTGGGCTCTCCGCTGTCACGACCCTTGGAGAAAGGACAGGTGTCAGCTCCCAAATAGACATCTCCCATCCAGTTCCAGCCTCCAGCAGGAAGTGAGAAGGCCAGGGACAGCCGGGCTCTGACAAGTGTGTGCGTGTGTGTGTGTGTGTGCGTGCGCGTGCGCGCCCTCATGGGGTTTAGGAATTCCTGGGTTTAGGACTTCCCTGGTTCTCCATGTGAGGCCCCTCCCCCATCCCAGAAAGTCATGCCCTCCTGGCTGTGCAGGGACGAGGAAGATGGCACCCTCCAGTGTGCCTCCTGAAGGACCGCCAGGTACAACAGACGCCATCTCTAGCTCTGCCAAAGCAAATGGTCCCTGATGGGAAGAGGAGAGCCACTGAAGGTAGAAGAGAAGGTGCTAAGAGAGAAGCTGCTGCCCCCTCCCCCCGCCCGCCACCCGTGGACACCATGGCAGATGGAGACACCCCCAGAAACCCAGAGCCTCGCTCTGCCTTGGCTGCATAGGAAGCACAGAGCCATGTAGCACAGACCCTTGAGTCTGAATCCCAATGCTGGTGCTCTCTGGCTGTGTGACCTTGAGCGAGTTGCTCAACTTCTCTGACCCTCAATTTTCCCACCTCAAATTCCTTTGGCACCAGCCCTACCTAACTTGCCTCTGGTTGTGATCCCTGAGCAAGATCACAGATACCAAGTGCGTGGCAGGTGGTAGGAGCTGGATAAACGGGATGGACACCTGGAACTGCCCAGCAGGGAGCTGGGGCTCAGTGATGGCTCTTCCAGATCTGCTTCTCCGCCTTTGCCGCCCAGCCCCACAGGGCCAGTTTACAGATGGGGAAATGGGGCACACAGATGGTGAGGGGAACACTGTAGCGCCCCTGACCCTGCGGTCCGAGCACTCTGCCCAAGCCCGGGACACTCCAGGGCCGTTTTCAGGGGGCAGTGCCTATCCCCAAATGTCTTGGCTCACTTCCCAGGGGCTGGAGAGAGGACAGGTGCTGAGGGACACCCCACTCCCAACAAACCCAAGTGTCTCTTCCCCTGGGACCCCCTGAAGGGGCTTCCTCTCTGGACAAGGCTCTCCAAGGTGGAGTTCAGGCCGTTGGTTACAATCATTTCTCCCTGCAAGACCCACTTCATGAGCCACAGTACTTTGCGAGTACCAGGCTGCTGGGTTCCCCTGCCCATCAACCCCAGCCTACAAAAAGGAGACGGAGGCTCAGAAAAGTGGAGTGACTTGTCCCAAGTCTGTCTGACTCCGAAGCTCATAAGCAGAGAGCTCCTCCTGCCAGTGAGGGCAGGGCAGGATTTCACGGCCTCTGCATGGGCTCTTGGGGGTGATGGGGTGTGGGCAATAAGCCTGTGACCAAGGGTCTTAGGATGAGCTCCAAGGAGACTTGAGGGTGAAAACCAGGAGTGTGGGGGCTGCAGGTGGCCAGGGGTGGGGTGGTCCTGAGCAGAGTTTCTCAGTGTGCAGGAGGCATTTCAGAAGCTCCTGGAGGCACCCCTTTAAACACAGGTTGCAGGCACCCTTTCCCTCTCAGCAGCCCTAGGTTCGAACCCTATGCCCTCAGGTAGTAAACTTCCCTGGACTCCAGGTTCCTCCTCGGTAAAGAACAAGAGTAATCTCCACCTCGCAAGGCTGTTGCAAATATTAATTACATAACAATAAACATAATCAATAATATTAGAGTATATAAAGTGCTTGTCTTTTTTTTTTTAATGTTTTATTTATTTATTCATGAGAGTCAGAGAGAGAGAGAGGCAGAGGCAGAGGGAGAAGCAGACTCCCCACCTAGCAGGGAGCCCGATGTGGGACTCGATCCCAGGACCCTGGGATCATGACCTGAGCCGAAGGCAGACGCTTAACCATCTGAGCCACCCAGGTGCCCTGAAGTGCTTGTCTGATGCCAGGTGCTCAGTACACAGGGAATTCTCTGACTCATTCATTCATTTGCTCCTTTGACAAAAGTGCAGGCCCTGTGTGGGGACTGGGGACACAGCACGAAGCAAAGGCAAGGCCTGGCCCCATAAACCCGGCCCCCGAGGCTGTCTCCTCCCCTGCCCCACATGAATCTGGTCAGACCCTGCCAGTCACAGCAGCTGGGGCTTGGGTCCCCGTTTCTCCATCCAAATGAAAACCCAGCATCCCTACAAACAGGGCAGCAGCAACGGAGCCTAACCAGGGATGCCTGGAGCCCCTGGTCCAGAGTAATTTACAAAAACCCCTGCAGATCAGAACTCATTATTGGGTCTGAAATCACTTACCAAATTGCAAATGGGTTTCTTTAAATGAAACAATAGAATAGAATGATAATAGAATAGAATAGAATAGAATAGAATCGAAGATATCAGAGTAGTACAGATAAGCAGGTTGAGTTTTGCTTCATGAATTTTCCTTGATCTACAGGTGACCCTTAAACCATTAGGGGGTTAAGGGTGCCAAGACCCACCCCGCACATTTAAAAATCCACATATTTTAACTCTCCAAAAACTTAACTACTGATAACATGAACAGTCAATGAGCACATATTTTGTATGTTACATGTATTATATGATGCATTCTTACAGTAAGTAAGCTTGCAAAAAAGAAAATGTTATTAAAGAAAGCTAGAGGAAAGAAAATGTTATTAAGAAAATCATAAGGGGGCACATGGGTGGCTCAGTCGTTAAGCATCTGCCTTCGGCTCAGGTCATGATCCCAGAGTCCTGGGATC